ATGTCTGGAAGCGTGTATTAAAATAAAATATGTTCAGTTTCCAAAGATATGTGTGGCTTGGTACTGTAACTTGCCACCCAGAAAGGAGTGTGTCATTGTGGTATAAATCTGCAATAAACAAGAGCAGATTAATTATGTAGGTTGTACAAAATCCACCAGAAACATAATTAGCATATGACCAAGGTAAACAAAAGAATGTGATCTAACTCCTGCACTTATAAAGGTACATTGCTCATTCAGAGTGATATTTACTGAGAAAACTTGTAAGAAAACAGGCCATCCTGGAAATGAGGTTTTATATGTCTGTTTTAATATAAAACGAGACCTCAGGAGTTAACCTTTTAAACATAATTACACTAGGCAGTTCGCACTTTAAAGACCGTCGTATTAAATCATCGTATATGTGACTGAATATCAATCAAAGCTTCGTACTAAAGTTTGGAACCAAATATTTTGCGATTTAATATGAATCACAGCTTGCTAAAATTAGTAAAATAGTGCGAAATTTTACACTTTTATACCATGTGTATTTTATATACATAGGAAGTTGTTTTATTAACAAATAGAGTGTCAGTTTCATCGTTATGCTTATCATTTTCATGTCAAATAAGGTAAAGTCTAAATATTAAAAAATTGAAATATGAAAATTTGTCTCTTTACCCTTGGTATAAAATCCATATTCAAGTCTTTTCCCACATTTCTTGAGGTTTTAAATTTGTTTGTCGTCTTTCACGGGCGAGAATAACACGTACGACTTGCATATCTTTGTCCAAATAGTCAAAGGTAGAAAATTTATATCGAAAAAATTTTAAAAACCGATTCAAAACCATGAGAACTATATTATCTGCAAAACATTTTTGCAAAAACCAGGGGGGGGTGAAAACGGCCGTGGGCTCAGAAACGAGCCTGGTCAGTGGTACCTACCATGAAAATAAAGTAAGTGTTGTCATGGAAATGGCGTCATTTTCACTCAAAATCCGCCATGTTTTTGGCGACACTTTGTTGACTGAACCACAGAATAGGAAGTTATACCAGAAGCGTAACTCGAGCAAGTATTTGTCCGCGTTTTTACAAGCGATTCGTCATCAATCACGCCATCCTGGCTAGTACAACCGGCACTTTGTACCTACCAAATCCTGATAAAAACTTCCGGCTGTACTAGCCAGGATGGCGTGGCCTGACGTGAGCGAGTTAAAATTTTCGTGGATAAGGGAAACGACTAGAGTTACGCTTCTGGGGCCGGTTGTATCAAAGGCGTTTAACTCGCTAACCACCGTTTAACTCGCTATCCGCCGGATAAAATTTAAACGCTCGAGAAATCGCGTTGTATCAAGCCCGTTTAGGGCTATCCACCGGTTAAATTTTGCCTATCCACCGTGTAAACTTATACGGTCTCTTGAGACCGTTTAAATCGCTGTACGGCGGATAAACTCGGAGTTTGAAGATAAAACAATGATTATTTCGGATGAAAAAGCATGGGATAGTTATAAAAATGCACAATCATGTAGAGGAGTTATCTTTTTAAATCCAATAAACATGAAAAACTCACTTTTAACTGGCTTGGTCTTGAGGTACACTGAGGTCACTTGCTCACTTGTAATTCCGTGGCTTTGCTATATTTACGCACACCAGTGTCATGTTTAGATGTTAAGTATATTATATACTCTGGCTTTTAATTTTCTCCTTCTTTTCTTCTATTACATAGTTTGAAAACAAGCAGTAAGACTCCCAATTTTAGCTATTGTAAAACAAACAATGACTTTGGAAAGCCAACAAGTATACAAAATAGACAACAAGACGCCGAAAGTCGAAAAAAAATGTTCGCTCACGTCTATGCTCACGTTAATCGCTTTGATCAGCCAATCAAAACTTGGGACAAAATGTTCTTAAAATTGTTTTGAACAAAAGTGCAAGGTCGAGGAACAAATTTCGAACAGTATAAAACTGAATCAACTGACAAAAGTCAAATACAACTCACAGTTTTTGCTATTGCCTTCGACTCTTCGCATCAAGCCAAAAATCTTTAAAGAAATACCCCGTAAGTGAATTTAAGTGAATGGGAAACTCAGCATAATGTGAAAATGAAAAGTTTGATATAGATTTGCAGCAACGAATGGACGAGCAAACTCCAAATAAAAACAACAACAAACTTTATTGCACAAGCTTAGTGGAATTCACAAGTTATAGATAAAGCTTCAAAAGTTTACAAAGGCCTAGCAACAGCTGACGTAGAGGTAAGAAATGTCAAGAAAATCCGGTTTTCTCCGGTTAAATTAAAGGTTATCCTACGGATAGTTAAACGCGGTACTAAATGGGCTTCGTACAACGCAATTTTATCAGCCGTTTAACTATCCGCTGGATAAGAAATTTATACGCTGGATAGCGGCTAAACACAGTTTAAGTTAAACGCCTTTGATACAACCGGCCCCAGGTATAACTTCCTATTCTGTGACTGAACGAAGTATTGGAGCAGGTCCTCCAGTTATTATACAGCTCAGTGGTCTCAGCCAGTGGTCTCAGCCACTGGTCTCAGCCAGTGAACTCTAATAAGACTGGAACGATAACTCGGCCGCCATCTTTGAAGTTGTTCATGATGGCCGCCATGGACGGTAGGCGTCGAAAATACACCTCTTCGAAAAACTCGGATTTCTGCCTTTCTAGCTATGCTAGAACATAGGTAAAAAGCTTAAAAACATCTACGATACTTGGACTATTGCACAAATCATGTTTGGAAGCCGTAGAAAAGACTTAACGTTATTTTTTGTGTACCTGAAAGTCGTATTTTGTTCGGCACGGAAAATATTTTGTTATTTTCTTGAATACAAAAATGGTACCTTTCGAGATTTTGCTGTTAGTGGATGTAGAATACTTAAAACTATCCAGAAAACCAAGTTTGAATCTTTGAAATTGAAATCTTCGGACGAAAAACCTAATTTTTCGGTGTATTTTTGCCAAAAAAACAAAATTACGAGGAAATTTAACTCTCCCCAGTTCTTTTTTGAAAGTCACAGCGCGCGAACTTGGCCGGGCGCCAAATCACAAATCGCAAATCACGGGGGATTTCTACGGAAAAATCGATTTATTCACGTTTTAGAGACGTCAAAAAGCACTCAAAATAAACAACTATACCTAGACGTTAATACAAAAAAGGTATTGGTCCGTAGACTTACGTTTTAAAGTTGTTTTTTTTTTAGTTAAAGAGCAAAGTTCACTTCGGCACGTTCGACTAGTGTCGTTTTTATGAAAACAAACCTGATACCCTTCAAACTTTTGCTGTTGTAAGATGCAAAGCAGTTCTAACTATGAAATAAATCGTATTTGGGTTTTTAAAATTGAAGTCTTTCGATGAAAAACGACTTTTCTTTCGTCGAAAATAAACTTTGACTGAATTTTCCA